CCTGCCCGTCTGCCTGGGTTTTCTCTTCTCCGGCTTTCCCCGCGCGCCCTGCCCGTCTCTGCCGCAGCCGGGACTTTCTGAAGAGGACCGCAGGAAGACCGGCTCCGGCGGCAGGAGGATCGGCATTATCTTCGGCAGAGTCCTGGCCGTCTGTGCCCTGTTAGGGACACTGTGCTGTGGGCTGCACCTCTACGCCACCTTGTGGCTGTATGGACTGCTGGGAGACTGGACCCGCTTCAGCTGGGCATGGTGGTTGGTCCATTTCTGGGCCAGGCTTCTGGAAGTTTCATGGGGGTTTTCACTTCTCCTACTGGGTTCCTGGTTGTTCTGGAGGCCTCAGGGGCGTCAGGCGGGGGAGGAGGGGGCAGCAGAGGGCAGAGCAGCAGGAGAACCGCCCTGTCCTGGGCAGTCGGTAGGGTCCAGTCAAAGACACACCTGCTGGTCCAAGATAGTCCAGAGCCTGAAGGGGAAGCCCTTCGGTAAGTCTGACAGTAATGGTGTCGTGGGAGGAGGAGGGGGAGGAGGGGGAGGAGGGGGAGGAGCAGTGGAGCTGCCCAATAACTGGGCTGGTCAGGAACGTCCAGGAGCTGATATCAGTAAAAGTCTGATCAGGAACCAGAACCCGGAGCAGGTTCCTGTCCAGTCACGTTTTGTAAAAGACAGTAACGCAGGTGGAGCCCAGAGGGGGCAGTCTTCAGAGGGGGGCTTCCCTGGGGGCTCCACAGGAACCCTGCTGAGGCTGCAGACAGTGGGCCCCCCACCTCAGCGGTCCATGAGCGGCAGTCTGGATCTGGACAAAGACACCTCGCTGTCCTTCTGTGACTTTGACCTTCGCCCCCCCTCTCCTATTGACCTGACCCGCAGCATCGACGAGGCGCTGCACAGAGAACATCTGTTTGAGGTGGGCAGCCTGTTTCATCCCGTGGACCACACGTCACGATCCCCCTCCCCGGGCTCCAGGCTGGGCCAGGGGCCTTGGCTGCGCAGGAACAGCGATCCTCAGCTGTCTGAGAGCAGTGACGCCCCGACGGACTCCTCCCTGCCACTAGGAGGCAGTGTGCTCAGTAGTGTACCCAGCAGGCAGGTGACAGCTCCCCCTACACCGTCTCATCAGACCCACAAATGGGCTGGGAATGGGGGGGCGAGCGTTCCCTCCTCAGTCTCCTGCCCCGTCTCCTTCCGACCTCTAAGAACTTCTTCAGAACATCTGGAAGAGGAAGGAGTGGACGACACGCGTCCGTTCATCACGCCAGACTCGGAGAGGGGTCGCGGCAGAGGTGGGAGGTCAGCAGGGTCACGTAGTTACCTGGAGGTCAGTCGGCATGACGAATCCGCCAGCGTTAGCAGTGACATCATTGACCTGTGAATCAAAATGTGGACGTGGGGACCAATGGCTGCACGTGGACGGAGGAGGGTCCTGAGATCGACGCCCAGAAAAAACACACACTCTGACGTGAACCCACGTCCAAAAACACCAACATCTTTGGTCCAAGTGAGACCAGAACCAGCTGAGACCAGTTCTTCCACCAGAACCTGTCACTGACTTTTCAGTCCGACGTCAAGGATTCAGAGTCAGAGGAATTTGAGATGATGTCACTTTTTGATAACAGGACAAACCGAGGTTGGACACAGTGTCAGGTCCTGATGTTAAAGTCGTGTTTTTTTCCGTAAGAACTTGATCCCGATCCCGTCTCGTAAGAAGTTCTCAGATTCTCCGCACCATCAGTTCTTTTTTTCGTGTCTGTATCTTTGCTTCTTTGACCTCGTTTCAGTTCGAAGACTTTAGGACAAAGACGTTGAGTTCACTGCTGCTGACGAACCAATCAGGGAAGTGTGCGTGTTCTGTTCACACACACACACACACAGGATCTGCTTTTCTGTATCGACTCACTTTGACTGACGTTCAGGTCGACGGAACACGAGAAGAACAGAACTGTCGCACGTCGACACGAGGCAGACGTAGAAGCTGTTCTATATTTGTACGTGTTTTTTTATTTAGCTTCATGACGGTCGTGCCATTCCTTAACTCACCTCCCTGCGTTCCGTGCTGTATTTCGTTGCCCTTAAACCTCATTGGTTGGTTGACTCTCCCAACATGTCGTCTGGTCGACCTCGTCTGGCGAAGTGAATCTCATTGGCTGTGATATGAAAGTGAGGTTTTATATAAGTTTGTGATTTTCATGTCAACATTTTTGCTTCAGATTTAAGAATTCTTAATGTGTTAAAATGTCAATCATTTACTGCGTACGCGTGATAAATATTTGGTCTGGTAGCTCTTGGCTTACAAAAGGCAAAGTACTTAAAAGTACACAAACAAACACGACAAACGTGTGCATCATCATGTACAGATGGCAGTAGTACAACAGAATATTCAAAACATTAGCAGCGCTGACGATGGACAGGTATGACATCAATAATAAAACTGCAGTAAAAAGCTACAGGTAATACAGTTAAAGTACAACTACACAGAGTATCTGACGTTTTTATAATCCTGCCAGCTGCGTCATGTCAGTGTCGCCCTACAGTATATAATACACTACTTAGCATTTTAGCATACAGGGTTAGCTTAGCATGGCTGTCCAAAACTGTTACATCTTCTTGTCTAACAGAACATTAAAGTGTTAGCCTGAGCGCTAGTCCGAAGTATTTTACTGCTCCGTGTATAAAAAAAAACAACCGATGTAAATACTCTTACTGTTTGGATGTTTATGAATAAAGATATTTTTGGAACAGTGAAGCTCGATCACTTGTTTTTGAGCTGCTTTTGTTTCAGTGTCACGTGACGTTCGAGAACTTCCTGGTCCGGTCTCTGGTTCTACTGACTAACGTGGACCGTGTCTGACATCTGTCATCATGAGCTGCAGTTCAGGTCAAAGTCGTGTCCTACCGCCATCGTGTGGCCAGAGAATAGAAGTGTGCATGTCTGCCACCTACAGACCGTAAATATGTAATGATTTTTTTTTCTCACATTTGACTTCAGTTTTATTAAAACTAGCATAGCTCCGTCGTGAGCGTTTTTATTTTATTCATCTATTATTTCATCCGCTTATCACCCACATCACATTGCACCGTACCAACCCCCCCTAAACCTTCCTGCAGGTGGTGAGTCCACTGAAGGTACCAACCGCCCTAACAGAGATTTGAACTTGTCCAGGAGGTGAACCCTGGGGTTCCACACCAATGACAGAGACATTGGCTCTGGGCCAAAACGCCACCTTAAAGACAAAATGGTTACAAATATTTACTCTGTAACAAGTTACTTTCCCTGGTAACAAGTTACTTTTGTCATTTCAGCCACTAACTTTTCCAGACAATGAACTAATCTAAAAAAAAAGTTTCATTCATTTTGCTTCTTCTTCTTCTTCTTCTTCTCCAGCTATAAAGTACAGTTAACCTTTGAAGTCACTGTTACTTTTGTTTTGTTTTTTTACTGCAGTGTTTACAGGACTCAGGTGAACCATGATCCGGTCAGTGGCCCCAGGTTTGGCACAGAGTCTGGTCTCAGTGGTGAAAAGCAGTTTATTGTTCATCAACTGGTTAATTATTTCCTGGAGGAGATCTAATTTGTCCCTGTGGTTCAGGCTCCTGGACAACAACGAGGTTAGAGCAGCAGGTCTGTTGTCCAGTCTGTTGTCCAGTCTGTAGTCCAGTCTGTTGTCCAGTCTGTTGTCCAGTCTGTCTGACCTGGACTCTGGACAAATGTCCACTCTGTAAATAGAATCTTGAAAAAAACCAACACTGGTTTGGAACCGACACCACACTGTTTTATCATGGTCTCATTCGGAGCTTATCACATGTCTTTATTCAATTCCTGTGAGTATGTCAGTGTAGTGTTCAACTAAACAGGCCCAGCTTTCAAATGAGTTGGGAGTAAATTGAACCGAGAAGATGATAATGTTTCATTAAGTTTCATTCTTCTAATGTCAAATTTGTGCCGTGGCCACGTTGGTGTTCAGGTCACGCTGGTGAAGACGAACTGAAACTGGTTTACAACCGGCAACCAAAGCTGAATGTTCACTCATAAAACTCCTGAACTGTTGGTACTGTTGACCTCTGACCAGACATCACAGTCAGACTCGTTTGATTCAGATTACTTTATTAGAAACAGAAGACGTCACCATCTTAAACCACTCCCATCACATGACATCACATGACATCACATGACATCATCCCACACAACTTGATTAATCCACTGCTCAGTAAAGTCGCCAGATCTCACAAAAGAACCCCCCGACCCCCACCCCCACTGACCTTTAACCTTTTTGTATTTTTTTCTCAGTTTTTTTATCAAACTATTTTTCCATATTTTACACATTATTTGTTTCTGGAACTCTTAGCATAAAGTCATTCATTTATCACTAACAATCAACCCAATCAATGAAGGCGATGAGCACTAGCCAATCAGGGCGGGTCATACATTCCTTCATTAAAGTGCTGCTGAATGAGCCAAGAAACAAATATCATCTCTAAAAATGGTTCCTTTAAAGAAGCAGAACTGAAATTAAATCTCATCACGAAACTTCACAGAGGAGTTCTTCATCTTCCTCTCGTAGTCTTCATCAAACACTTCACTCTGGGCCACGGTGAAGTGGTTCTTCCAGTCTCCGACCTTACCTTCACCGCAACAGAAGAAGAAAAAAACATCAGGTTTTATGTTGTCACATGATGCTGGATTAAATCATCTGGTTTCCATGGAGATGACGTTAAAGCTCCGCCCACTTTCTGTTCAGCCGACTGTTAACAATGAAGAAAGTCGGTGTTTGTTGTCTGTTTTATTTCAAACGTAGTTTTATAGAATCCCAGAGAAAGTTCCAGAAGAAGTACCTACGTGGTACTCAGTATTGGCGAGTACACACACATATGCAGTATAGATTCTACTCCTGGAGTACACACCTGTCGATGGGTTTCTGTGACAGGACACCTGGTGGTTGAAGACTGAACTGTTTTCTTTTCTAAATACAGACGGTTAACCGTACCTTTCCTCATGAACGGCGACACCTTCTGGTCCATCACTGGCAGAGTGGAATAGTTGGCCATCTTGTTTTGCTTCATGTTGTCAAAGTGGGCGGAGGAGAGGATCCGTTCCTTCTTCTCAGACGAAGGAGACAAACCAAGGAAGTGGCACAGTTTGTCAAGTTCTCGTCCAGGGTCCTGCACACAAGGTCGGAGGTCGGTGTCACCAACCGATTTCTTCTCCTCTGTCTGTCAGTTTGATTGACACCTGTCGACTCACCTCGACCAGATCTTCGTAAAAGAGTACGAGGAGATTGGAGTAGGTGGATTTCTTCTCCCACCAGCCGTTCACGTGGTCGTACCACGAGCCGAACACCACTGTGGAAACAACGGTACAAGGTGAACCATGTGACACACCTGAACCATG